TTTGGTTTTTTCTCCGGTACCAGGAACCGAACTCACGACCTTGCGCTTGCCAGGCAGGCGCTTTTGCCGCTGAGCTAAATCCCCAGCCCCGCAAACAAGTCTTAAAACTCAACAAATGATATGGAAAATATTACAATGATTTGCTGAACACTACACTTTATGTTGGTTGTAAGTGGTTTTATGGTACACATTTCTTCTTACTTCATTTTTATTGTGGTAAAATATGCAAAAAAAATTACCACCTTAACCATTTTCAGGTGAACAGCTCATTAGCATGGCGTATGCTGACACTGTTCTGCGGCCAGTCTCCTGGGTTTCGCACCTTGCAAAACTGAAACTCCATGCACACTGAACAGTGACTCCCCATTTTCCCTCCGCATCGTCCCATTCTGCTTTCTGCCCCCGGGCGTTTGACTCCTCTAGATATTGCACATAAGTAGAATCAGACATTTTTGTCTTTTTTATTAGCTTATTTCACTTAGCGTAATGTCCTCAAGGTTCATACAAGCTATATAGCCTGTGACAGGATTTACTTCCTTTTTAAGGTGGAATAATATTGGCATATACTGACTTTTAATTTGAAAAACAAAAAAGACACACATTTTAAATTTGTGATTTGTACATTTATATTTCTTAAACATTTTTAATTTTACCCTTGCACATATATTTCTTGATTGATATAAACAAGAATATTTGACAAACATCTTTTATGAAATAAAATGATGCTTTTTAAGACAAAATTTATAAATCTGGTATTTAACCTACAATATAGAAAATTATCCTTTTTTCTGAGCAGACTATCAAAGAATTAAAATTAATTTTTAATTCAGTGTAATAGTTTACATTATGTCATCCTGAACTAGACGGTTCACTATAGAAAACATGAATAAGGACTAAGAAGAATCATGATTTCTGAAGATGGAAGGTGATACCGGTGTCAGGATGAGGAGCTCTTCCAGGGCACAATGCTGTTGGTCAAAGGAATTACACAAAGCCAAGATTCTATTATTTGTATTCTTAAAAAAAATACTTTTCAAATGAATGCTGTTTCTTTTTTTTTTTGGTTTTTCTCCGGTACCGGGAACCGAACTCACGACTTTGCGCTTGCCAGGCAGGCGCTTTTTGCCGCTGAGCTAAATCCCCAGCCTGAATGCTGTTTCTTTAATGTGACCGGAAGACTAAATTCCATCTCTTTTAATGTTTTTAGAGAGTCATAAGAAATATGCATTAGAATAAAGGGAACAGAAATATCTTCTAGGATTTTTTTTTTTTTTTAAGTTTTTTTCTGGTACCGGGAATCGAACTCACGACCTCACGCTTGCCAGGCAGGCGCTGTGCCGCTGAGCTAAATCCCCAGCCAGAAATATCTTCTAAAATTGATTGAAGACTTTCCTTTTCAACTTCTTGCAACATCTATTAATCACAATCCTGGTGGTTAATCTGATTGCACACTTCCACGGCATAAAGCATTAGAAGTATATAACGTAAATGGTAAAATATACAACTTGAGGACAAACACTGCACATGAAAAATGTATCCTTCAGTAATTTAAAGATTATAATTATTGTTCTAATAATCCTATATTAGGTGGAATAAAATAATTTAAATACCAAAGTAACACAGCCAAAAAGAATGCTAGTACTATTACAGGATAGTAATTATTTCCCCCGCAAACAGAGAAGCTCAGTATTAATCCTGTGTTTTTTGACAAAGCTCTTAAAAGTTACAGTATAGACTCTTGAAGAATTAAATATTTGTTTGGGTTTCAAAATCATTCTCTTTCCATGTCTTTCACACTTTAACTTGCCCTGTACACTAGAATAAGCATAAATGAATTCGAAAGGTTAACATGACACTTACCTGTCAAGACACCTTAGAATTATAGTAGTCTTTCCCTGGAAATTAGAAAAGAAAGAGTACTGCGTTAATGTCATCCACATGTAAAATTTTATTAGTGTTCCTACTTGTGGCCAGAAACAGCTTTTTAAATGACTTGAACAATAAATTATCTAGAAACTAAAACCCCAAAACTTTCAGAATTGTTCTAAAGTTTGATAAGTGGAAGAAGTTAACTGTCAACTTTTCCTCACGGAGTAACTACACTGCTATTATTATAATTACAAAGTCCCACAGATGACAAATATTAGCAAATCATACCTTACTTTAGCGGTCAACTTGGCAGCTTCTTACATTTTTTTCTCTATTCAACAATGCTAATTACTGGTTAAGCTGATGATTAGTGTCTTCTAAAATGTTTTTCACTCCAATTTTTGAAGTGGAAAGAAAGAAAAAAGCTAACATACAAATAAAGGACATGTTGCAACTATGTTCAAAACAGGCAACTCAGAAACTGGGTTAGAGTACTAATTCTAGAGCATGTACTTTTATTCCAGGTTTCTTTCTGAGTCAGGAAATACGGGTTCTGGCCCCACCTCTGATACGAACTATAAACTTAACCTTAAATCCTCTCCACAGAATAGCCCAGTGCTTTGAATCATTGTAGATTTTTTTTAAACTAGAAAAACTCTGTTGTTGTTGTTTTTTTTAATGACCCCCTAAAAGAAAACAGGTAAAAAAAAAACATCAGGAAAAATTCTGTGGAGGAAGCCTTAGGGCTTCTAAGAAAATAGTTTCAAAAACAGTGGATTAAGAAAAACACATTTTACTATATTTGTTTCTTTTTAACTAAAAAGCCTCTGAGCCAGGTGTGGTGGTACACACCTCTAATCCCAGCACTCGGGGAGGCTGAGGCAGGATGATCATTGCAAGTTCAAGACTAGCCTGGGCTACAAAGTGAGCTCAAGGCCAGCCAGAACTGCATACTAAGATCTTGTCTCAAAAAAAGACAAGAAAAAAAAAAGCCTCTAATTTTTACCAAGAAGATGATAATAAATTAATCCAGATTATGGGTGGAATATATCAAACTGGATGAATTTTTTGTAATGATATGGAAAAAAATAATTGGAATAGTGTCAACAATGTATAGTATATTGTTGAAAGACATTTATTGGCTAGTGTTATACTGAATTGAAAAACTAAAAACAGGGGCTGGGGATTTAGCTCAGCGGCAAAAGCGCCTGCCTGGCAAGCACAAGGTCGTGAGTTCGGTTCCCGGTACTGGAGAAAAAAAACCAAAAAAAAAAAAAAAAAGAAAAACTAAAAACAACCTAAGTGTCTGCAAATAGGGAACTAGCTAAATTTATTACAATAGTCCATATAGTAGAATAATGTGCAATTATTAGGAATGACTATAGAAATATACTTATGTTGTAAGACACTTGTAATAAATCAGCATGACCCTATTTTCAATTCACAAATTTATTTTCCTGACAGATATCATGGCACACGACTTGTAATCCTGGCACTTGGAGGCTGAGGCAGGAGGATTGTGAATTCAAGGCTACCTTGGAATACACAGTGAAACCCTGTCTCAAACAACCAAAACAAAAACCAAGTAAAATATTTTCCTGCTCCCTTTACTTATATGTGTAGACATACACACACACACACACACACACATACACTCTCTCTCTCTCTCTCTCTAACAACCAAAGAGATCTAGAGGGATATCACTATCTTAATAGCAATTATTTCTAGCTGATGGATTTGCAAGTAATTTACTTTTTTAAAAAGAAAAATCAGGATTTTCTAATTTCCCTACACTGAACATGTATCATAAAGGTACATATTTAAGGTTTTAAGTTAAAGGGTAACAAATTCTATTCACAAAGTATAGAGTCAGAATTACTGTATTTTAGAATTGCAAGGAATTTCAGTTATCTAGCCAATTTCTTCAAATTCTTATATTATCCTAGTACTGATTTAAATACTTTTACTATAATTTCATATAAATGTAGAGTACGTGTAGTGATGATTCCAAATAAACATAAACTCAGCTCTGGGAACTGCAATCAAATTTTAGGTTATCATCAAAATGACAAACCAAACTTTAAAGATTCACTAGTAACCTGCAGCCCTTTAAGAATATGTCCACAGACTCTTGGGCTTCCTAATTCAAGAAATACTGACCTAGTACAAATTCACTTAGGGACCATCAAAATGAATGCCATCTTCCCTCCCCTGATCACAATCATACCAGTAGTCCAGTCTTCTGACCCCCTGACTCCCATGATCCCCTATGTGGTCCTTCCCTGACCTAATTTCTTGTCTTCCCTTCCTCTGAAATCTTTCTATCTAGAACCCCACTTCTATGACTGGCAAGATTAATGATGTCTCAACATCTTTGGATAATTCACAATAAATCAGTACTCTGGATAAAGCCCAGATTCCGGTACTTTTTAAAGAATAATACCCTCAAAAGTTCTAGACATTGCAAGGGCATTCTCAAGTCTTCAAAAACAAAATTAGCTTCTTTGCTGAAAGGAACCGTCAGTGAGTCCTTGATTGATCAGTATTGCATGTCTCTATCTGTTTTCATGAGAAACCACTTTGAAGATATCAATATGTAATACAACAACCATTTGCATACCACTTTGTTTGTAAATACAACAAGCACTGTTAATTTCCTACCACTTTCTTTGTAACTCTGTATTGTCTGTACTGTTCTTCTGCTATTTTGTAAAAGGTTGTCTGTCTGTTAATGTTCTCCTCCTTTTATTTTTAAAATAAAAAACAACAACAAAAAAAACAAAATTAGCTTTAATGTCATTGTAATAGCAAAAGCTTGGATATGCCACATATTGCTATTAGGAAAAAGAGTAGTTTCACAAAAACAAGCCATAACTATAAAGAAGCCAATAACAACTGTCACAGAAAGTGATGGGGAGAGAACGCACACACGGGCATTGTAGGTGTGAGTGTTTGCTAGGGTCAGCAGCACACGCCCTCTTCAAGGGTGCAGAAATAGTTTCATTATAAAGAAAATATTTTGTAACAAAACTTTATTTGTATCTTAAGATTAGTACTGACTATGTCCACATTTATGTAAATCCATGTGTGCATCTATACTGCAGCAGGGTAAAAATGTAGGAAAGTGTTAAAGCATTATATTCAATATGAAAATCACTCTTCTCACAATAGTTAACTCAGGAAATGAAATTTTTATTTAAAAATTTAAAATATAAATGATCTCTATGATACTTTTATGTTAAAGAGTTAAGTTCAGATATTAAAGAGTAAAACAAGCCAATATGAAAACAAAATTAAAAGCAAAAATAAAAATATAGTGATTAAAAATTTACTATCCATATTTCTTTTTATCTTCACAGATTTATAAAAATAAGATCATAAAATTTATGTCCTACTTTTTCAATTCACATTATTTTCTTTCACCCGTAACTTTTTTATGGGTATATAATTATTTCCCCTTATATATATAAAATCTTGTGTTTTTTTTTCTTTTAAAGGGAAATAAAATTTTAAAACAAGATAATAGGAGGGTAACAGTGGTTCATACATTTGGTATTGTTATCTTTAGTTACTCAGAGTACTAAAATATCAGCATTTAATTGTCCAAACAATATTAGCACAGACATTTTTCAGTGAACTAAGAGAAATTAGTAGTATACTTATCGTAAGTACCATATATATATATGCTTTCCCCTTCCTTCTTTTCTCCATTCCCCCATTCCAGTTTATAAATATAAATCTTAACACAGACAATATTCCCACTCAGTGTGTCTGGCTGTGCGGGAAGGGGTGCTCAGGCTGCCTGGACACTGATGCTGCCCCTTAAAGCTAATAATCATGCTGGTTTCTCAGAGCTTCCTCTATGCTAATACTCTTAAGTGGAAGCACAAAGCACAGAAACTGGACAACAATATGAAATCCAAATGGAAAGAAGCTATGTGCTACGTGAACTTCAACATCTTGGACGCAGCGAGCCTTGGCCTGTTTTGGACAGTGTCTGCGGCAGTTCTGCCTCCCAGGCACCAATTTTGTGTGTCACGTAAGGCTGTATGAAGATATGATGCATCTGTTACTGCTCTGTGTGGCCACTTCCAGAATTCTTCTGTATTCCTGGCTAAGTACAACAGCACTGACAGCGAGTAGGTGTGGTCTGTCCTACCAGCAATGGTCTGGAACACTGCTGCCTTATTTTCCCCACATTTTTCAAATCCTTTGATAAACATCATTTCTTGTTTTTTTTTGGTATCAGGAATCAAACTCAGTACCTTGTGCTTGCTAGGCAGGAGCTGTGCTGTTGATCCCCAGCCTGATAAACATCATTAATAAACATCAATTATTCTGTTAGAGAGATTCCTACACACGAAATATCTGAATCCAAAATATGAATACTGTTAAGATATTGACTTACTAATTTAGATGTTGAGTTCGACATTTACATTTAGTTATTTAAGCCCTTTATATTCAACTGAGGTAAGAGACTCAAATATTTTCAAATTTTGAAATGAAAAAGAATAGTTAAAACCTTTTCCAAAAATTTTGTTTACTGTATAACTTTTCCTAGATCAATAATACTCTCTAGGTGACACTCAACCAGATTGGTCATTTGGTTAAGAGTCGAAAGTATACAAGGTTTTGTCAAAGTATCAAAATAAATTTTACCACTAGTTAAGTCACCTCAATAACTGAAAGAAAGTTGAAGCTTTACCCCATTTTTACTGCCAATGAAGAAGACAGACTTTTCTCCACTTTCAACGCCATCGCCTTCATTTCCATTACTTCCTCTCTTTTCCACTTCAGCTTTTGCAATTTCCCAGAGAGTTTCACTACATGACAGGCAGAAAAACAAAATTCAAAGAAGCAAAAAAATATGTGTTTAAACGCTTATTTCAAGCATAGAACAAAACAAAGTATTCTGGGGGACAATAATCTTGCAAACTACCTGATCAGCCAACCTGTGATTACTCAGTTTTCTCCTTTGAACTAGTTCTCCTAAGAATACTGAAGCTGATACGGAGCACCTTTACTACCAGGGTTGGTGGCTGACTACGGGGCTTCCCAGCAAGGTTAAAGGCTGTACATGTTAGTGTCTTTGATACAACTGAAGTTATAAGGACTTTTGGAAATGTACAACTTAAATCATCTAGAAAGATAACAATCATGCAAAACCAGTAAATCAAATAATCCTTGCTCCCTGCAACATTTCTTTTTTGATTGTCATTATTTTGTCATTTTAAAATTGTTTGGTTCCAAATTTCTTTTCTAAAATATGAAAACATAAACATGAAAGGGGAAAAAAAATCACCGAATGTCACAAAGAGTTTGAAAATCATTTTTCATTCCTCTATGTACAAGCCAGTATCTTTTTTTAAAAAGCCATTATCTTTTTTTAAAAAAAATAAACCTAAGTGAAAATGGAGTACTGTATTGAACTAAAAAGACCTGACAAGGTTTACCCTGAATCTGCTACTTTTTATGTGTGTGAGTTTATGCAAATTAACTAACCTCTCTAGATTCTTCATTTCTTTATCGTTTAAATAAGTATTTATTGAAGGGCATAGTTCAGCGGCACAAGCGCCTGCCTGGTAAGTGCAAGGTCCAGAGATCAATTCCTGGTACCAAAAAAAAGGGGTAAAAAATATTTATTGAGCACTAAACCAATGTTAGTTCTCAGGCTCAAGACGGTTTCTTCATCTCTAAAATGCCAATTTAAAAAACGTATACCAAATTTAGAGGGTTGTTGTGATTGTTACAATGTGGTCAGTTAGTTTAGGGACTGGTCTTTATAAAATCAGGGATAAAGAAAAGACCAAAACTGAAATATAAAAAGTCAAAACAGGACTTAAATGTTTGCGTTAAAATTCCTCCTTTTAGTTCACAGTGAGTCTCTGGGTACTCAGGCCAGGCCTGTCTGCTCTTCACTTACAAGCCATTCCTACAGAACCTGATCATGTGACGTCCATGCACCCTGCAGACAGGAAAAGGGCGAGGTAATTGGGCGTGCCACTCGCGGAGATGTGTAACTGCAAACACAGCTTTACAAATGCTATCAACGGCAACGTGATGGGAAGCTGAGTTTTGACCCTAAAGTTCATAAATTCAGCGGAGATCACCCTGTCGACTCGAAGAGTGAGAGAAAGCTTCCCGCTGCTCTGTGACGGACTCCCTGCCCCTCTCCTGGACGTCCTGCTAAATTGTTCTGACAAGGTCTGGCTATTATCTCCAGTATGGGCAGTTTAAGTGGACCTCCTAGGAATGAAGAGCTCAAGTGCATTTTACAGGCCATCACAGCCCCTCCCCGCCAGCGATGTTGAACTTCCCACTGTGCTTTCCCAGTTCTCCCTCACTCCTGTCCTTGGGAACCTCGCGCACGGCGGGGGCCCCTGGGGAGGCGCTTTGGGGTTTGGTTCACCGCCTATCCCCTGCGACGGCAGCAGTCGCAAGAAGCTTACTGAATCGAATCAGTGAATGCATGAAGTTGGCCTAGCTCCCTCATTTTCTACCTGTCTGCGGCGGACTGCCCCTGCTCAGGCACACTTCCGACTGGGCCCTGCCCACGCAGACCCGGCTGCGAGCGGGGCGACCCGCCGTCTCCCCGCTGCAGGGCCAGCGCGGGCTTCCGGTCCCCAAGTCTGCCCCCCGCGGGCTCCCAGGTTGGGGTAGGAAGGAGGGGAGGTTTTGGAGGCGAGTTAGGTTGGGGGCAGGCAGGGCTGCCGGACTACCTGGGCATCGTGACAGGCCCGCAAACGCGGAGTGCTCGGCGTGCGGCCCAGCCCGGTACCCCGCGAACCGAGAGCGGCAGGATGAACCAAGAACGTAGGCTCCTCAGTTCCCGTGGCAACGAGGGCGTGGTCGCATGCGTGCTAAAGAATGGCATCATGGGAAATGTAGTTTTCGGTGCTCTTTCTAAAGTCTCATCTTCAACAGCAACCTCTAAAATGGGAGAGGAGACAGTAAGACCCCAAAGCAACTGTTTCTGAGCTGGAGGTGTTTTTTGCCCCCCTGACTGTTCATTCTATTCCAGGGGCATCTGCTTTTTCTCTCTCTCTTTTTTTTCCCTCTTAATGAAAAACCTATATACTTTATTTTTTTTCCCCGGTACTGGGAATCAAACTCACGACCTCGCACTTGCCAGGCAGGCGCTGTGCCACTGAGCTAAATCCCCAGCCCAAAACTTAATTTTTTTGTGGGTGGGGGGATTTCCGGTACCGGGAACCGAACTCACGACCTTGCGCTTGCCAGGCAGGCACTGTGCCACTGAGTTAAATCCCCAGGCCCTTGCTTTTTCTCATCTTTTACTTTTCTCTGCCAGTAGCCCTGACGTGGGAATAAAGAAAAAACAGTCTACAGAACTGCTTTTCTAGTTTTTCTGGAAGCGCGGAATGATTAAGTCTTAAAACTGAAAATAAAGCATGCAGTTTTAATGTTTTCCAAATTTCTGAGAGTTTGTATCCTGCTTTATGCAGTGACACAGTGTCGCTACGTTAATGAAGCATGTGCACCTCCTACATACTTCATTTACTTTATGGATGTAGAGCACTTCTGTTTGAACTTGCAGTCTCTTTGTAGATCTCCAAGAATCTCCACATCAATAACAAACCTTGGGTTAATGACTGTATACAAGGTTCAGTGCTACAGAGTAAGGAATAAAGAGGAAAGACAAGATCTTGCCCACCAAGAAAGATGCTGTATACCCAGCTTGCTATATTACAACCCAAGGAAGCAAGTAATGTAAGCTACTGCAGAAGTAGTACAAAAAAATTACACGGGAACAAAAGTGACTAACTGCCTGAAGGAGTGGTTGGAACCTCCGTGGTGATGATAGTATTTGATCTGTTTTGAATGCTCTGCAGACCCAGGCTGTCTTATCCAAGATGCCCTGAATACTTGAGGAAGATGTCCTCTCTCCAGCCCTCTGCTTTTTGGCTTAATTTTTATGATGTGATGTCTAAAAACATGGGCTTTAAACTAAGGTGGATATTATGGTTTATATTTAGATTTCCCCCAAAGCCTCATGTCATTAGGTGGTGTTTTGGAAAGGTGATTGAATAAAGGGGGAGTAGAGTTGACTTGGCGTTAGGAAGCAGGGTCTGGTCTGAAGGAGAGGGTCACTTTGGGCATGACCTGCAAGGGTTTATCTCCTCCACAACTGCTGTCTTCACTCTCTGCTACCCAGCTACCATGATGTGAACAGCTTTTTCTCTGCAACACCCCTCTGCCATATGCCATCCTGCCTTGGTGCCAGCAGACTGTGGACAAAAACCATAAGCCAAAATAAATCTCTTCTTCCTTTATTGATGTCAGGTATTAAGTCCCAGTGATAGATGTTAGTAAGAATTGCCTCTTCAGTATTTTATAGCCGTGAGGAGGAGGAGGCGAAGGACAGAAAACAAAGAGACTGAAAAAAAACCAGCTGCCTTTGTTGCAGCACTAAGAGAAACAGACCCCAAGTCTGATTCTCGGGGCCCCAAGAACTTGTCAACTACATTCATCTGCTACCACTGTCAAAAGCCAGGCCACCTCAAGAGGGACTGCCCTAAGAAGCCCCCTGGGCCATGCCCTGACTGTAAAGGTGACTTTACAGGTTGGACTGCCCTCTGAAGCGAAGGCCCCAGAGCTCAGACCCCTCCTACCAGCTGGTCCAACTGGAATGAAGGGGCCCAGGGCATACTCTGCCTTCTCCCTCTGGCCAGACTGTTATCTTCAAGGAGGAGCCCCAGGTAATCATGACTATGGAGGAAAAAGTAAACAGCCTATTGCTGGACACTGGTGCTAGTCTCTTGGTCCTTCTTTTCAGTCCTGGCCTTCCTTCCAGTGGTCACACCTCAGTGAAAGGAGTCACTGATGAGGAGGTAATCCACTATTTTTCACAACCCTTAGGGTGTAACTGCTTGTTAGATCCTTCTTGCATATCTTTATTTTCCTGAGAAACCACTTTGAAGATACCAACATGTAGTACAGCAGCCACTGATAATTTCCTACCAATCTGTCCATAAGTCTGTAATGTTTCTATTGTTCCTATGCTATTTCTTAAATGGATGTATGTTTATTACTATGTGTTTTCAACAACAACCATTGAGAACAGTCAATGATTATTTAATTGATCACTCATGTATAGCTCTGTGTTTTCCCTAGAAACCACTTTGAAGAAACCAAAGTATAATACAACCATTGATAATTTCCTACCATTTTTGTCTGTAACTCACTATTATTTGTCTATTTGTTTTCCCTGAGAAACTATCTTGAAGATACCAATAGGTAAAATAATAACCATTGACATTGTCCTACCACTTTGTCTCTAATTAGGTAAATCCCCCTATTACTATGTTATCCTTCTTTTACTCTTTTAAATAAAAAAAAAAGTCCCAGTGATGAAAGTGACTAAGACATTGGACCTAGATTCAATTCCTGACTCAGGGTACTTGCTAAGTTTCCATACTGCCACATTGGGTAAATTACTTAATTTTTCTGAGCTTTACTTTCTGATCTTGTGAAGCAGAGGATGATTAGGAGTTTTAAATGAGGTAAATTATGTGATAAGTTATGAGATAACTTCTGCGTATGTGGCATATTATAAGAGATAAATTCTTTTATTATCATATGGTAAACTGCTGATAGGCCGGGTGTGTTGATGGGGGGCATTGAACCCAGGGCCTTCGGAATGCTAGGTAAATGCTCTATCGCTCAGTTATACATCCAGCCTAGCAGACAACTTTGAACAAAAAAACATAAGGATGCGTTTCTGGGAATGGCACAAATGGTTGATAAAAGAAAAACACATTCACTTCAGACAAAGTCTTTGGGAACTAAGTCCCCCGACATATTGGTGTATTTTGGAGGCTGAAAAGACTACCATGACACATAGAAAGGGGAGTGATGAAGGTGGAGTTCAGAGGGGTAAAGATGACTTCAAGGAGCATTACAACATCTCTCACTGAGTCCGCAGCTATATCCTGGTGCTAGACAGCTATAAGCTCATAAATTAACGTGGGACAGATTGTAATAGTTGTAATAATTTGGGTTCTGGAGCTTCAGGGCCCTTATACATGCTAGTTAGGAAATCTTGTTGATACTGCTAATAACAGCAGCTACTACTTTTACCAAGTGTATGCTATGTAGTAGGGACACTACTAGTACATTGAGAGTGCAGTCGTGGATTGCTGAGATAGGTGAAGGAGGAAGCCTGGTAACAGGAAGGTAAAGTTTATCTGGCGGGTCCTATTCACCATCACGGACTCAAGCTGAATCAGCTGATCTGATTGGGTAGGTGAGGTCCCTCTTCTTTTTATTCCTCCAGAGGCTTCATACTTGAATAAAGAAAGTGGTCTTCCTGGGTAGATGAAAAGTGTTCTTAGGGTAAGAGTATATGAAGACTTGAGCTCCTACAAACCACTTTGGGTCACCCCAAGAAGACTCAAGGCTTCAAAGCTGGTGATGGCGGGGAAGACAGTTTTACACTGCCTGCTGGGTGGAGTGAGCTTAAGGTAGAAGGGTAAAGGGATGTATTGGGGAACTCTGAATAGTTTGGAGTGGGATCATTTAAAGTGCCTGGTGGAGCGGAGATGGGAGATCAAACTGTGTGGGTAGACTGGGCTAGCATGAAAGATCGCGCAGTTTGGACTTTGCTGTGTTGGTTGTGAGAAGCGAAGGAAGATTTAGAATAGGAGTGTGCCATGGCTAGGCCTGAGTTTCAGTGAGATAATTTTTTGCAGCTGTGTGAAGGATGTTTTTGGAATCTAGAAGACCATATGGAAGCTGTTAACAATAGCCAGGAGAGTGACGGTTTTACATTCACCCTGCCTTGTTTTCAAAGTTATATGCTTCTTGTAGAAAAAAATAGCCTATAGAACAAATGAAGAGGGTGAAATAAACCTACCCCAGAAGTAATGACTAATAAACATTTTGATGTGCTTCATTCTAACCATTTTTCTTAGAGCTGAGATTATACTGTAAAGCTAAACAATATCTTGATTTTAACAGGTATTTCCCCATATCAAATTTTAAAAATTCATGGTAAATATAACTTGGATATCTGCATAATATTCTACTATGTAGTTTTTTAAATTTTTATTCATTCATTTATTTATTTATATTTTATTTTATTTTATTTTTTTCCGGTACCGGGTCTCAAACTCACAACCTTGCGCTTGCCAGGCAGGTGCTGCGCCACTGAGCTAAATCCCCAGCCCAACTACTATGTAGCTTTTTGATAATTTACTTAGGCATTCTCTTAATGTTGACTAAGTTTGAGGTGGCTCAGAGCAGCCCCTGACATGAATCTTTCTCTGGGATTTTTCAGCTAAGGTTGGAAAAAGCAACTCACTCCCTTTTTGGAGAAATCAGCATATTTTTTGGTAAATGAAACATTGTTTGTAGTTAGAGAATGTGCAGCAGACACTCCTCAGTACGAAGAGAAAGTCCTGGCAGGTGTCTCATGCTTCTGGCTGTCCCCAAAGCTTGTCCGTGTCCTCACCTTGCTTATGACATCACTGTTGAGCTCTCCCTTTGATTAGATGAAACATCCCTAGTATCCCTGTAATAAAAATGAGAAAAACGACGTCTCATTTTTGTCTAAGTTAATGCAAGTTGAATTTCGGAATTTACAACAACGTAATTTTAGACAGTGAAGAGTGAGGCCTTGGGAAAGGGAGAAACATCAGTGATTCTAGGGTGACTGATGACTCCCTGATCCCATTAGCCAACTGTTAGCGGGGCTCAGGAGAGGATAATGAAGCCTAGAGGACACAGAGTGTCTGCAGAATCATCCAGCGGGCAGCTGGAACATCTGGGATCCACCGGACTTGGCAGTTAGATAGAACACGATGTCAGATGATGGTGCTCATTTTACCTCTGCGGGAAAAGCACACGAACATCTTGTGACCTGTGCACCACGTACAGGCCAGTAAGACCTCTTCTCAAGCTTTTCTGAGGTTACACACTTTCCGTACAATTTTCTCTCATAAAAGGCAACTCTTACGAGAGTTTGCTAATATTTTCCAGAAATTCAAGTGAATAACTTCTAAGCTATCTCCTCTGGTATTTCCCAACATTCAGTTCCTAGGGATACTTCTTGGGAATTCATTAAAGCCACATCATAAGAGAGGGAACCAGCCGTCCCTTGTCACTGACACTGCTAAGGAGTGGTCACTTGATTGTAATAAAACCATAATACAACCCAGTGGCAACTTCAGTGTCCTCTCTCTTCTCACACACATACACACATACACACACACACACACACCTCATTAGATTCTGTTAGCAAAGAAAATGTATTTCATACTCAAGTATTATGGTTTCTTATTTTGCAGTTGTTTTCTCATGTTCCCTAATATTTTCTTCCTTGCTTATTACTAGACTGCAGGATAGTTAATAATTATAAAGCACACAATGAAGATTTTTGGATCGATGTTGATGCCTCAAGAATTATTGTGACTATGTACAATTTAGGTAAAGTTAAGTTCAGCAAGTGAAATCATGGTTTAGAGCCGGTGTCATCTCATCCCCTCTGCCCAGTCCGCCAGTCAGGTCCACCAGCACTTCAGGAGAGAAAGACCTTCCCACTTAAAAGCCCAAGAGCCTACATCTTAGTGCCACTCAAACACAGGAAAATTTTACTTCACCCTAAATATCTGTATTTGGATTTACCTTAATTTTGACTTTAAAGGGAAAAAATTACTTGTATTGCAGTAAAATCCCTTTCTTCCTTAAGGGAAAAGGGAGTGGGGGAAAATGTGAGAAGAGAAAACTGGGAGGAACTGGCAGCAAAGCGTTCTCCCCACGTACTTCCTCTGCCTCCTTCCTCTCCTCCTCACTCCCCACACTGCTGGAGTCTCCCCCCAGCACGGTCCGCCCAGCACTGAGACGGTGGATGGGGAACTATGTTCTTGGCCCCTCAGAAACACGTCAAGCCTTTTACTAGAGAAATGCAGTTGCCTACAGTGGTTTGTTCTTCGGGATTATAGTTCAGTTCAGTTACAAATTAAATGTATTTGTTCTAGGAAACTGACCACCATGTATTTTTCCCCCTATGGGGGAAAAAATTCCAGTCAACCAACTAACTGATAGTTACATTTATTTCCAAGTTATGGCAATATGTGTTTGGTTTTTAGGGCATACACATACACATTCACACACAATCAAGAACAGCTGAAATAAATCTTTAGAATAAAGTTCATTAAAGTCATCTAAGTGAAATAAACTCTCTTAAGGAGTTTATTATGAAATCATGGGGAAACCAACATTTCTATCTGTTTCTCTGCTGAATGAATATATATATATTCAATGAATTTGCCAAAACAGCTTCCTTTTATAAAGATAAAACAAAGCAACACTGAGGACAAAGCGCTACAAGAGGCAGGAATAACTACCATTTCCCCTAGTACTACACCTCAGCTTTGACAATGAAAACATCAGGTATTCCTTGAAGATTATTCAAAAGATAATGCTCAAAATGGGTTTTGTAAATCATTTATTATGATTGAAAGGGAAGAAAATGATAGGAGACAAATATTACAGTTAGACATGAAACACTATTCTTTTGTAACCAATCGTAATAACATACTCTGAATTTTTAAAATGGTTATATAAGTAATTTCCCAGAAAATAAAATTTTCACATCATCAGTTACAGAAAATTGATTTCTTTCCATCAAAACATTTTATCTCTGCTCTATCAAAAATAAATGCCAAGTCTAAGATACTGCAGTTTAAATTAAGCCTTCACTACTCATTCTTAAATGAGAAGACTTAGGTTGGGTGGAAGCTTAGCAGAGTGAACTACCTACTGTCAGAGAAAGAAGTTCTCACACAGAAGTAGCAGCTCTGCCAAGCCTCTGGCTCACCCACTAATGATTATGAGTAAATGTCTTGGGAGCCCAGAAACACTACTGTATCCCAGCCAAAAGACTCCCGAGAATCTTCCCACATTGGTGACCAGTTTATTCGAAAAAACTAATTTATTTACTCAGTGAGTGGTCGTGGCTCAAAAGATGCAATGAGAAATAGTCAATGGAAATCTCTTTTGATGAGTCTTTTAAGCTTGTTTTGTGATTATTTATAAGGCATGATATTACATTTGTGGCTCTGATTTTCTTTTCTTTT